TAAGTTAGGGTCTAATCAGAATTAGACCAGTTTAGAAAAGTTGAAGTTCACGCTACGGCTTGGAGAAAAGTGAAAAGAGGAGAAAGGAGAAGAAAAGTTCAAAGTTCATCGATTTCTTGGAAATTTTCGTGCGGATTTCACCAAGGATTTAAACCTACAGGGTATGTGAGGCTTTCATAACATTGGATTCGTTCACCAGGTGCCAAACATGTTTTTCTCATCATGAATTCGTCCTAAAAGAATTTGAAAGTTGATGTTCTTGATATGTGTTCTTGAATTTGATATTGTTCTTGAGTTGGGCTGAAATTGAGACGTTTCTGAGATCATTACGTCAAGTTATTGAGTTGGTTGGAGTTAGGTTCTTAGGTACATTAGATGGGTATCTGTATCTAAACAGAATTTAGGAAAAAGAATCGAGTTTGGGCGAATTGGGGCTGGAAAACGAAGAAGAAAAATTCGTCAGGAAAATCTTGGCACTGGCTCCGCGTCGTGGACCTGCTCCCCAGATTTTGGAACAGTTATTTCACGTCGCAGAGTGGTCACGGACCGTTTTGCCTCAAAAAGTATTTTTGCGACCAAAATTTAAATGCCTCTCTGCGCCGCGGACCTACCCTCAGAAAATAATTTTTTTAATCTTTTCTCATGTTTAGCCATCTAAAAACACTCCTAAACATCATGAGATCTTTTCCATCACAAATCACGAACCTTGAATCAATAATTCAATTCAAGGAAATTTAAGCGTCAAGTTTAGAATTTAAGAAGCAAATCAAGAGAAGTTCATTAAAGTTTTTCAAAAGTCTTTCACAAACGATTTAACTTTGTTCTAAGACTTAAGTTTTAAGTTAAGCAAAGAGTAAAGAGTTGAGTTCATTTCTCCAAAAGTTATAAGGGAACTAAGTATTCTCAGGAGTTTAAAATATTTTCACATTTGAACAAAAAAGGGAACATCGATTCCAAGAGAGCTTTTAAGCTAAGTTTTGAGTAATTATCTCAAACCAAATAAAGAAGTTTGTTTTAAAATTATATGAGGTAAGTATATTTTGGGATTAGTATTGAGCACTGATAAGGGGATGCGAGTTCATATTAACTCAAGTCTCCTTAAACCATGTAGCCATCATGGGTAGTAAAGGATCATATTTTTTAGATGACTCCTTAAGATGCTTTTAGCATAGACTAGTGGATCTATTTGGTTAAGCGTTCTATAGGACGGAAAGTATATGACAGTTCTAGCAGCATAGGCAAGACATTGTATCACCACTTAGGCTCATAGTGGTGGTTGTCAGTTAGAGAAACACCCACATAAACTATATTACTTTGATATATGAGTAAACTTGAGTTTGTTAGTGCATATATTTAACAAATTGAGTTGTTATTTACTGTTCTAAATGCTTTGTATAAGTTGCACTATTATTAATGTTTTACACTGCATTTTGAGTTGAGTTATTCACGAATTGAGTAAAACCAAGGTAAGTGTTCCTTTCAGATCCTTTTCAAGCTTTAGTTGTGATTAGCATTCCAACTCACATACTCGTACATTCAATGTATTGATGCCAGTTGGCCGGCATCGTCTTATGATGCAGACACTATTAACTAGGATCAGCATCCAGCACCTCGTTGATCAGGTTGAGCACTCAGAGTCAGTTGGTGAGCCTTGTTGCATTTCGGAGGACTCTTTTATCATATGCTTTCTCGTTTTCATTTGTTAGGATGATCGGGGGTCCTTGCCCGACATCTCTCTTTGTTTTAGAGGCTTCATAGACAGTTAGTAGTTCAGTTGTCTTTACATTATCATTTCATATGTTAAGACTTGAGTTGCCATTTTGGCCAAGTTAAATGTTGACTTTTAAACATTTTAAGTTATTTTATTAACCAATTGAGTAAGTGCATTTGATCATTGTAATAATGCTTAGAGTCTTCCGCTGAGTAAGTATGACAGGTCAAGGGTTCGCTTGGACACAACAATGGTTCTCAAATGTCAGTCACGTTTCGGGTGTATGCTCGGGGCGTGACAAAACTGTTACCCCACCATCTAATATGCTCATAAGGAGAACTCCCAGGCGAGTAAGCCGGTGAACATCTTTTGCTAATTCCTTCATTTCCTCCTCAACATTTGCCACACTACCCATAGATAGTCTGCTAAGAGCATCAACTACTACATTAGTCTTACCAAGATGGTAAAGAATACTCATATCATAGTCCTTGAGGAACTCAAGCAATCTCATCTGGCGAAGATTCAACTCTTTCTAGGCGAACACATATTAAAGGTTGTTATGATCTGTGAACACCATACAAATAATATCTCCAAATTATTAGGGAAAATACTATGACTGCAAGCTCGAGGTGATGAGTCAAATAGTTCTTCTCAAGCACCTTAAGCTGTCTAGAAGCATAAGTTATAACCTTACCTCGTTGCATTAATACAAAACCTAGGCCAACTCTAGATGCATCGCAATAAATTACATAACCGTTTTAACCCTCTCGTAGAGTCAAAACATGAGTTGTAGTCAACCTAGTTTTCAGTTATGAGAAGCTCTTCTCACATTCATCTTACCACTGAAACTTAACCTTTTTCTAAGTCAACTTAGTCAATGGAAAAGTTTTGGATGAAAATCCTTCCACAAACCTTTTGTAATGACTAGCCAAGCCTAAGAAATTTCTGATCTCTGAAGGAGAGGTAGGTATGGGCCATTGTTTCACTACCTCTATTTTCTATGAATCCACTAGGATCCCTTCGCTAGACACTATATGACAAAGGAAAGCAACAGATTGCAACCAAAACTCACATTTGCTACACTTAGTGAATAAGTGGCGATCTTTAAGAGTTTGCAGGACAACCCTCAAATGAGTCGCATGCTCTTTCTCTTTCCTAGAGTAAATGAGGATATCATCAATAAAGATGATAACGAATAAATCCAAATACTGCTTGAATACCATATTCATTAAATCCATGAAAGCTGCAAGGGCATTGGTTAGTCCAAATGACATAACTACAAATTCATAATGACCATACCGAGTTACAAAGGATGTTTTTAGGATGTCTCTATTATGGCTCTGATCTGATGATAACCGAATATGAGGACTAGAACTCTAAACTTGGTCGAACAAGTCATCAATCATGGGGATAGGGTACTTATTCTTGATGCTGACTTTGTTCAACTAACGATACTCAATGCACATTCTAAGAGAACCATCTTTCTTTTTTACGAACAACAGTGGTGCACCCCATAGGGGAAATACTGGGTTTGATGAAGCCCTTATCTAGAAGGTCATTCAATTGTTCTTTCAATTCCTTAATCTCAGCTAGAGCCATTCTATAAAGAGGAATAGAAATAGGCTGGGTATCTAGAGGGAGATCAATTCCGAAGTCAATTTCCCTTTCAGGAGGAATTCTTGGAAGATATTCTGGAAATACTTCTGGGGACTCATTTACCACAAGTACTGACTCAATAGGGGATTCAAAGCTTGAATCCCTAACCCAAACTAGATGATAGAGATACCCCTTAGAGATCATATTTCTAGCCTTAAGGTAGGAAATGAATCGACCCATAGGCACTAAGCTACTACCCTTCTACTCTAAGATTGGTTCGCTTGAAAACTGGAAACGAACGATCCTAGCTCTACAATCAACTGAGGCATAACAGGACTGTAGCATATCCATGCCTAGAATGACATCAAAGTCTACCATTTCTAAGTCTACAAGATCTGCTGAGGTGACTTTCTGAGATACTATTACATGGAAATTTCTCTATACCCGTGTAGCTATAACTGGGTTACCGACTGGAGTAGAAACTGAGAAGGGTTATGAAAGAGTTTCTGGACTGACACCGAAGTTCATTGCTATATAGGGAGTTACAAAGGAAAGAGTATCCCCTGGATCTAACAAAGCATAAACATATAAATGAAAGACTCGCAACGTACTAGGAACCACAAAAGGAGAATCTTCCTGATCCTGGCAAGCATAGAGAGCATACAACATGTTCTGGCGCTGACTACCACCTATACCAGATATAGTACCCTTCTGAGTCGGGTGACCTGCTGGTGCTGCTGAAGCTGTAGACTGAGCCTTACTAGAGTTGTTACCTCCTTGTCCCTGTTTAGAAGAAGGACAATACCTCAACATGTGACCAATCTGACCACACCCAAAACATTCATCCTTTCTTGCAAGACACTCACCCGGATGGTTCGTACCACAATCTGGACAAGTTGTGTAGGTTCTGGTAAATGAATCACTCCCCTGTGACTTAGACCCTGATGAGCCTCCTTTCTAATCCTGTCGAAAGCTGGGGATGGAGCACTAGCTGATAAAGGTGTTGGGGTTGAAGACCTTTGCTGAAACTGTGAACAATTTCCACCACCAGACTTGTGTTGAGAATAATCATAGTTTCTTGTCCTAGCCTTTTTGTTGTCCATAGCATGTTCCCTAAGCTTATCTCCCTCAACCTGCTGAGCATGAGTCATGAGCCTAGAGATGTTCATATCTTCCAACAACATAGCATTTCTGCACTCTGTTTTCACCAAGTCAAATACCCCAAATAGAAACTTACTTATTTGTGCCTTGGGATCGGCAACCATATGTGGAGCATACCTGGAAAGTTGGGTGAACTTAAGTCCATACTCTTGGACCGACATAGAACCTTGCCTCAAATTCAGGAATTCCTGAGCCTTAGCCTCCCTCAACACTCTTGGGAAGAACCTACCCAGAAAAGCTCCAAAAAACACTCCCATGTCACAGGAGCTGCCTTCTCACCCCTGTTTTCCTTCAATTGAGTGAACCAAATGTGAGCTACATCCTTGAGCTACTAGGAGGCCAACTCTACCCTATCATTTCTAGTTACTTGCAGCACTCCAAAGATCTTCTTGACATCATCAATAAAGTTCCAGGGATCCTCACCAACTTACAACCCTAGAAACTTAAGGTGATTCATCATAATGAAATCACGGACCTTAGCTGCCACTAATCCACCACTAGCATTTGCAGGAATTGGAACCTGTTGATTGTTCTAGTTAGCTACACTATAGGCCAAAAGTTTAATGGCGAACTGAAACTCTACATTCAGAACCTCATGATTTGGGACTAGAGCAAATGCATCAGCATTGCGGTCATTAGCATTCATTAAGTAACTTTTAAGAGGAGGCATGGTCTGAAATGCATAACGTCGAGTTAGAAAAAAGAAATTATACCCACAGACAATAAGAATAACAAGAAAGTGAATTTTTTCCTAAAACATTTTGTAGCCTCCCCCTCATAAGTATGGCGCGCTTCACACCGATAAAACGGACTCTACTTAGTGTGGATTTTCAGAAATCCTGGGACTCTTGAACCTAAGGCTTTGATACAAACTTTGTCACGCCCCGAGCTAACCCTTTGACGTAACACGGGACCTAGGATCACGAGTGACCTTAAGCTAACCGTGAACTCGCATATCATAAGCATACTTAAAGATAACTAAAATGAGAAATACTGTGCGGAAGCTTAAAACATGATATAAACTGAAATGATAGGGAATACCCAATATTGTCTAAATATAAAACTGAAAATGAGTTTAACAACATCTGGAAGATCAAACTCAAAACTAAAGTTGATTTTAACTATGTCTGAAATAAGCCTGTAACTGACTAGAGATGCTGGGATATGCCCCATCTAACTCTAGCAAAATTAAAACTACAGAGGAAAGACTGAATATAAAATATGCCAATCATCCTCTAACAATGAGGACTCACCACTGAAGATCGGGAACCGATCTATGCGTGATTTCAATGTTGCGGACCTGAACCAACATCACGAGAAGATGAAGAGCAGAGTATGCATCAGTAATTGAAAGGTACTGAGCATGTAGGATAGGATAAAGCTCAATAAATATACATAACTGAAATAAAGCATACTTATCAATGATATACGATGAGCATGATAAACGTGCTGAGATGTACTGAAAATGAACTAAACTGAATGCAATGACCAAGTACATAACATGCTGAAGTTGAACGCTGAACTATAACTGATAACCTAGTCAATGCACTAGAATCTGACTGTGGGAGATACTAATAACCGACATTAATCAACATGAGCTAAATGGCGAGTCCGATGTATATGCCTTATCGAGAGGATCCAATATACCTTGCCAGGATATAAAGGCATGACTAGTGTGATCACTACATATGACAGAGGGGACTTATCCTATGAGGGCACGTAGTTCTGGGACTATGAGGGTAACTGACCCTAGTCCAACTCCGCATTAAGCCTACTCCTAACTAGAATGTGTACAATATGACATAACAAAAAAAAATAGGATAGCTCGATATTCTGAAATGCTAACTGAAAATGCAACATTAATGCACTGATAATGAAATATTCTTAACTGGAGCATGTATATCTGTGTAAACTGACCTAGTAAGTGTATTTCATGAACTAAAAGAATCTACTCAACTAAGGTTCTGAATTTCAAGCAAGAAACTAAGAAACAATTCGTCAAAAACCTAATAATCTGATAAGGAATACCGTAGCAGCTAAATCACAATAATTATCTGAAGTTCTAGAAACCTTAGGTCTAAATAATACAAAGGGAATAAAGAATTTGACTGAATTCTAGGGACCTAATGGGTCAAAGGAACCCACTAGTGAAATCCCACATACCTCGTGACGAATTTCATGGAGAAATCTTTTAATTTCGGGGCTGGAACTGGAGGAAACCTTGTTGCATTCTTGGAGAGGGTTGGTAGACTATTTCTCCCTTTTCTCGTTCAATTTGGATGAATTTTGGAGAATGAGTTGACTTGGGTAAAGTCTAATTAAGTTACATGGCTAAAATTGACTAAAGCGACATGGTTTAGGGGTTAAATGACATAGCTTACGTGCCCAATGCATAGGGTAAAGATAAAAAAAACCCCTGACTTAATAGTTGGCGAAGCCACCGACGGCCCCTTACCGATGCATCGTGGACTGACCGACGGTCCGTCCTGGCAGGAGGTCATTTGGCTTTAGAGGAATGGAATCTGGGGGTCTGAACCACTACGTGACCATGGACCGTGGTACCACCTACAGTCTGTCGGTCCTGGCGTGGGTTAACCCTTAGACGAATTTCTTTTGAGTTCTGGGAGGGAGCTGCAGGTGGCCAACCACGGACTCCACTTACGGTTGTGGGTCACCCTACGGTGTGTAGGTGGCACCAATGGTGGCACCTGCTACTTCTGATTTTTCTGAAATCGGGTCTTTCTAGAATACGGGGTATTACAATGATATCGAGGTGCAACTAATTCTCTAAATCAGTAATAAGGTGTAAATCACTATATATATACGTACTAGTTTTTGACACGTGCGTTACACGTGATTACCGATTTAGAGAATTAGTTGCACCTCAATATAATCATCTTCACTCTTGTGAATGTTTTCATTATTTCTTATAACGATGATATCTTAATTCAGTGACATAGATATATGTATATCGAGGTGATGTCATCACTATTAGAATAAATGATCAGATCAACCTTCAATAAATTCTTTGAATCAGTAATCACGTACAACGAACGTGTCGAAAATAGAGTTGCAACAAAGAATTTTCGACATGCGCATTGAAAGTGATTATCAATTCAGAAAATTTATTGCAGGTTGATATCATCATCTTCGTTCTTGTAACCTTTGTCATTTTTTCTAATAGCCGTGAGATCAGAATTCAGTGAGGTAGGATTAACTTCAAATTTGCTACAGTTCAAGATTTGCAAATCCATTTATACCATCTAAACTTGATCAGAATTAACAATTTGTTGATGCCATTTCGACATTATTGGCCTCGAAAGATTTCTTAATTTTTTGCATCTTGGGGAGTCTGTGGAAGTTCTCAGACAATCTTGATGATGGACAACTTTTGTTTTCCATTTTTTAGTTAGGCAAGGTCAGAACTGCAATTGGGATAGCAACTTAAACTGAGAAGACAAGTAGAACTGTAACAACTACTATAATTGAGAGAAAAATTATAATCGTGGTGGAAACTACAATCGTGATAAAAACTAAAATTGGAACAGATACAGTGATCAAAATTGGGGCCAAGATAGAGAATGTTATTAGGCAGGAAAAGACAACAATTGAAACGAAAGGAGTGACGCATATGTTCCACCAAGAAATTGAGATGATGATTTGGGGTTCACAAGTATAGAAGGCATAATGACGAAGATGATGAAATAATTTAAAGTTTCTGATGATAATAACAAAAAGATACGAAATGGCATATTGAGTATGAATCAGAAAATAGAGTTGAATGCTACATCTATCAAATAGTTTCGGAAAAAATTAGGCCATATGTCCTTATCCTTGAATAAACACCTAAAAGGGACACTTCAAATGAAATACAGTTCAAAATATTAAAAATAATGGTCACTGCATGACAGTTACTGCAGGAGGTATTAAACAAACCTTAGGTCCCCTTATTAAAAAAGTGGTGGAAAACTCAAGGGACCCGAAATTACAGAAGATGAACAGGTGGGGGAACCCAAGAATCTAGCTGTGGAGGAAAAGGAAACAACTCAAAATACAACACCCATGACTCGACCTCCTCCACCCTTTCCACAATGATTAGTGAAAAAAAATGAGGAAGTAAATTATCATAAGTTTATCTTGATGTTGAAGCAACTCTCAAATAATGCCCATTTGATTAAAGCGCAAGAATAGATCCTGGGCTATGTGAAGTTCCACTATATCTCTCAACGTATGATTAAGATATACATACGCTCTATCTTATTTAGACTTTACTTGGTGAATTGTACTAAGTATGTTACTGTTGTTGATAATGTTAATTTCTAAATGTTGGATGCATTAATTTCTATCATATATGTGGAACATTTTGTCCACAAGACTTCAAATGTTTTCTCAAAGAACCTATAACATGTCCATTTGGAAAATAGTAGGTTTAATTGAATTGGTAAACAAGGTTGCATTCACCTCTTGTTTTCATTTCTTGAAACATGCATTTTGTGTAATCACATTATCATTAGTACGCACTTACCTATTGAAATTGTTTAATATTGTTTTACTTTTTTCTTATCATGAGTCATTTATAATGTTATTATTGTACTTGTAGTTTTTATGAAACAAAAATTTTCCTTTCTTATTACCTTCTTTGTTATATATTATCACATTTTGATACTAATAAAAAATGATTTGTTGTTATTAGACAAGCTTACTCTAACTAAATATGAGAAACATGTTGTAAGAGAGTCTTGAAAATAGAAGAATAATATTTGAATTTTTGTTTAGGATTATAAAATTTCAATGGTAAAGACTGCACTACTGAAATTTTATAACGAATCTTCAAAAAATGCCAATAGGTCAGATAAATTTAGCTATCAAAATAAATGTATCATATGTACCAAGTGCAAAAAATGTAGGCTTCATCGCTACAATAAGGAGGATTGCAGGATCTATCATGATTATTTGGCCAATGCACATTGAGGGTCTTTTGATTCTCCTTTTGACAAGTATGTTTTATTTTCACGCTTCATTTCCTTAATATTATATTTTTCATGTGCAAGCTATTGCTTTCAATTAGTTGTTCATATTAAATGGAATCTCTTTTAATTGATCATTTTACTTTAATAATGGAAATTATTATTAGGATCAATTACTAGTAGTAAATGATCTTAATAATATATTTAAATTATAAGAATCATATTGATCACCTAGAAGAGAACTCCTTTTAACATAAACAACAAATTTGTAAATAACTTGCATATGTAAAACATAATATTAAAAAAATTTAAGCATGAAAATAAAACATACTTGCCAAAATGAAACTACAATATTTTAGGCTTTAAGCCACCCCTGTAAAGTGTGGCCTAAACTAGGAAAAAAATGTGGTAAATGACTTTTTATCAAGCAGCTCACCCATATTAGTTTTTTCTTCTTATCTTTTTCTCAATTAAAATCCCTTTCAAACATTTCAACATAAGTCAAAAGTTCATATATGGTCTTTAATTGTGTTGGTGTAGCTATTAAAAATGTCATCAGTTTTTGTACTATAAGTACCCTTAGCATCTGTAACATACCCAACACACCATATTTTTATTTTCAGATTTTGACAAAAGTAGAGCTCATTTTCCTATTAGCATAGTGATCCAAATGAAGCTTTAGTCCCTTTTTTGATAGAGTCCTTTT